TCTGTTTTTGTGCCAGTACCATACTGTCTTGATTACTGTAGCTTCAGTATAGTCTGAAGTCCAGGACCCTGATTCCTCCAGCTCCATTTTTTTCTCAAGTTTGCTTTGGCTGTTTCGGGTTTTTGTGTTTCCATACAAATTGTGAAATTTTTTGTTCTAGTTCTGTGAAAAATGCCAGTGGTAGTTTGATAGGGATTGCATTGAATCTGTATATTGCTTTGGGTGGTAGAGTCATTTTCACAATGTTGATTCTTCCAATCCAAGAATATGGTATATCTCTCCATCTGTTTGTATCATCTTTAATTTCTTTCATCAGTGTATTATAGTTTTCTGCATACAGGTCTTTTGTCTCCTTAGGTAGGTTTATTCCTAGGTATTTTATTCTCCTTTCATCACTTTAAATATATCCTGCCAGAACCTTGTGGCTTGCAGAGTTTCTGCTGAAAGATCAGCTGTTAACCTTATGGGATTCCCTTGCATGTCATTTGTTGTTTTTCCCTTGCTGCTTTTAATATTTTTTTCTTTGTATTTAACTTTTGATAGCTTGATTAACATTTGTCTTGGCGTGTTTCTCCTTGGATTTATCCTGTATGGCACTCTCTGCACTCCCTGGACTTGACTGACTATTCCATTTCCCATATTAGGGAAGTTTTCAACTATAGTCTCTTCAAATATTTTCTCAGTCCCTTTCTTTTTCTCTTTTTCCTCTGGGACCCCTATAATTCGAATGTTGGTGCATTTAATGTTGTCCCAGATGTCTCTGAGACTGTCCTCAATTCTTTTCATTCTTTTTTTCTTTGTTCTGCTCTGCAGTAGTTATTTCCACTATTTTATCTTCCAGGTCACTTATCCGTTCTTCTGCCTCAGTTTCTTGTATTTTCTCCATTCTATTTCGAAGATTTTGGATCATCTTTCCTATCCTTACTCTGAATTCTTTTTCAGGTAGACTACCTATTTCCTCTTCATTTGTTTGGTCTGGTGGGTTTTTACCTTGCTCCTTCATCTGCTGTATGCTTCTCTGACTTCTCATTTTGCTTAACTTACTGTGTTTGGGGTCTCCTTTTTGCAGGTTGCAGGTTTGTAGTTCCCGTTGCTTTTGGTGTCGGCCTCCAGTGGCTAAGGTTGGTTCAGTGGGTTGTGTAGGCTTCCTGGTGGAGGGGACTGGTGCCAGTGTTCTGGTGGATGAGGCTGGATCTTGTCTTTCTGGTGGCAGGACCACATCCAGTGGTGTGTTTTGGGGTGTCTGTGACCTTATGATTTTAGGCAGCCTCTCTGCTAATGGGCGGGGTTGTGTTCCTGTCTTGCTAGTTGTTTGGCATAGGATGTCCAGCACTGTAGCTTGCTGGTTGTTGAGTGAAGCTGGGTCTTAACGTTGAGATGGAGATCTCTGGGAGAGGTCTCACCATTTGATATTACATGGAACTGGAAGGTCTCTGTTGGACCAATGTCCTGAACTTGGCTCTCCCACCTCAGAGACACAAGCCTGACACCCAGCCAGTGCACCAAGACCCTGTCAGCCGCAAGGCTAGCTTCCACTGTCACAAACTTTGGACAAATGTCTTTACTACTGCTCTCAGCAATCTTGTGAATATGCTATTATTCTCCCCATTTTCAGATGAGGAAATCAGAATTTAGCAAAGTTACATAACTTGCCCAGCATCACATAGTCAGGCTTTAGTATGGCCAGGACCCAAATCCAAACCTAATTCTCAATAGTGATTTTTTAAAAAGAAATTTTTAAAAAAGAAATCTTTTCACTATCCCCACCAAATATATCCCCTAATTGATGTACTTGGTCACTGACTTAATCAATAAAATATAAATGCAAGGAAGAAGATTTATCTTATCCTAGTAGATCAGAAAAATCATAGAAATTCTGGTTAAATGTAATAAGTTGGACAAATGCATGCATTTTTATTTCCTTTCCCAAACCTGACTAAAATGACAGTAAATTGTGTTTACAAATGTAAAATACCATAAGAACAAATAGAATCCAAAGAGAAATTACCTTGAATTTTCAGACAGTGGAAAGCTGATGGAGACTTGGTAACAAACTGAAAGGGATGCTGAAACCTGATTGCCTAAAGAGAGATATCCAATGAAAAGCAGGCTGATTCAACTGAAGAACTACAAAATAGTTCAGACCTTGGGACTCCAAGGTGCTTTCAAAGATAGGAGTTAGGGGTAGTGATAAAAACAGGAGTATCAGTTCTAGACTCTTCCCTCCATATCACAAAACCAAAAATCCCTCCCTCCCCAACACATGCAAGAGAAGAGTGATTTATTCTCTCAAAGAAACTGAACTAGAAGGACTGTGAACTTAGGAACACCAGGCACAGCAGAAGGCAAGAATAAGACACCATTCTAAAAACAAAGGAGTTAAATAAGTCTACAGTCTGAACAGTAGATGAGACCTTCATCCCTATTATCCTTTCTTAGCTCCTAGAATTCTGTCTCCCAGATATACCTCTTACAAGAAGTCAGAGGATTATTCCCCAGAGAAACTTGCCCTAAAAAAAAAAAAAAAGACATTGATACTAATAGTTCTTCAAGAAAAGAGAAAAAGGAGAAGAGGAAGAAGAAAGATGAGGAGGAGGAGGAGAGAGAAGAAGAAAGGAAAAAGGGAGGGAGGGAGGAAAGAAAGGGAGGAAGGAAGGAGAAAAAGTTTAGCCCCTGCTGCATACTTAGAGATTCCAATCAGTAACTTGCTCTCATATATAAATGAGCTCCTCATTAAAACCTCTATCAGAAAATAAAAACAAATAGAAGCAATGGAGAGAAAATAGAGACAAGGCATAAAGAAGAATAATACCTCAGAAAACATAACTAATAGCTTCAGAAAGATGCCATAAAGAAGAGAATGTGATTTAGAAAAAAGAAAAATTAATCAGAGAACACAGAACTCTTAGAAATTAAAAATTAATTTAGATCATCTGAAATTTAAAATTTTAATTAAGTTTAGAAGAATATATTTGAGGAAATTTCCCTGTAAGTAAAAGAAAAAGCCAAAACTGAAAAATATATTAAAAAAAAAAATGAGAGAGAAAGAGAGAGAGTGTGTATGTCAATTCAGGTGATCTAATCTCAGGGGTTGTAGAAAGATGGAAGAAAGAAAATGGAGTGGACTATAAAAGGATTCACTGAGTAGCCAGACAATGAGGTCAAAAAGATTCTCCCTAAGGCACATTCTAATACTATTTCAGAACCTTGGAGAAATGAAAGAGGAAAATAAGAGAAAATAAAGAGAGAAAAATAGGTCACATGGTAAGGGTCAGGAGCCAACAGCAGTTGATCTTCCCATCAACAGTGGAGCAAAGCCCTCAAATTTCTGAGGAAAGAATTGGCAACCTATAATTCTACATCTGGACAAATTATAACGTGAAAATAGGGTTAGATTAAAAACTGTTTAAGAAGTAAAAGGTTCAAATTTATTTCTCTGCATCTTTTCTCAGAAAGCTAAGAGAGGATGTGCTCCAACAAAATAAAGCAATAAACCAAGAACTGTAAGGATGGCAGAGGATCCAACACAGGAAAGAGGTAATAGGAATTCCTAAGATAAGATGAAGGGAAGTCACAGGATGACAGCTGTGTAGGAGGAAGTCTAAATAATAGATTCCCTGACCCATTTGACTATATTGACAGGAATTTTGTAGTTCTATGAAAGAATATGAGAAGAACTAGTGATTTGTACATAAAAAATTAAAACAAATCTAAAAGAGGGAGGGACAATTATTAACAAATCCAAGAAATATTTAAGAGCCATACAGGAGAGAAATGTAATATATTACTTGGCTCAGCTGTGAACACAATTTACCTAATCATAAAAAATGTAAAGACTAAGTATTAAATATTATAACTCTACTGGGAGTATGAAAGTGGAGAAAGGACTATGAGAGCAGGCAGGGTGGTAAGAGTGCTAAATCTTCAACCTGCGTTTTACAAAGTAATAGGTAATATCTAAAACTGCTTAATCAAAAAGAAAAAAATAAGCAAACAATTTAAACACATGGAAGTACATACCAGAAGAGCAGCTGAAAGAGTCAAAAGTATTTGGGGGATGAAAATTGGGGTTGTGTTAGGTAAAGAGATGGCCACCATTTTCCCTTTAAGCTTTACAGTCCTATTTGACATGTGAAGTTATTATACATGAATTACTTTATCAAAAATAAAAATTAGAAGGGAAAAAGAGCAAACAGTCTACACTTTCTTAAGCTCATTCATCCCTTAGTGACAGCAGGTCTTGTTTATAAACCACTGCAACCTCAGCTCTCCCCATGCCTACACTCTGGAAGGTTTCTTTAGTACTTAGGTTCTAAGGATAATCTTTTGTCTCCTTTGGAGGCTAAATAACAAAAGAAAACCTGTTCTTATTCTTCCTGATGGGGTAAGTCATTATGAAATTAACATTTAAAAATCAAGCTTAGGGTTAAAGTTAAAAGTAGTAAAACAAGAACTCCTATAACTTTTGTTCATGTCAAACTACTTATACTTTATTTTTTATCCAATAACTTATCTAATTACAGATACCACAGTAATTCCCGTTACTCCAAGTTTCATATATAACAATCAGAAAAATTTTGATAAATTATGAGAATATTTCTTGAATCCAGAACCATGAAACAAGGCCACTGCATGAGAGTGTGCATTTTGCGCTCTGCTGAGGAGATGAGGGTAGGAGGTAGATTCAGTTACTCACTAAGCCAGGATACCCAAGTTGCTCTGCCTGGAGCACAGGGTTCTTGTTTGTTATTAGCCTACCCAGGGAGGCCCTTTTTGCAAATGAATCAGTCAGGGGATGCACCTTATATGTAATTCACAAACAATGCAGTACATCCTAGTCGTGGCTCTGATTGACTGTCTTTCTAACAAAGGCTCTATTTTAATCTTTTGATCAATTTGCACTTGGACAAACTATAAGACTATGAGCAGTGGTCAAATCTGTGTGATCAAGACCTACATTTACAGATTGATGTCCCTGTCACAAATGTCTTGTTACGTACCAAGAACGTATTTCCACAGTGCCCACACACAACTCTTGTACCTTCTGGTTGGACTGGCAGTGCAGGTTGAGCTGGCTGTTCTTCAGAAATAAGCATTACTGGGCCAAGGTTAATTATGCGTCTACTGTGGAAACAGAGAGGAAACAACTTCATTATCCCACAAATGGACTGAGAGCGAAACCTACACTATGGGGCCAAAAACATGGAATATAGCATTGAAAATAGGTTATACTTGTTTTATAAATTAAGTGAATTAAATGTCAGCCTTTAAAGCCAAAATCACAGAAAACAGCAATAGTCAATATTTCAAAAGCAAAAAAATTATTTGGAATTGGACCTAATCAAATCACCTTGGGAACCATTTAACTACTGTTTCCAAGTTCTTATAAATTCAAATCTTATCATTCCTTATCTTATCTTACCCTATCTAGGAAGACAACTTGAGTAAAAGACTAAGTAAGTTAAAAAATTGTACATTAACAGATATATGTGTGCCATGAATGTACCAAAGTGCTGAGTCACAACCAAATTTCTCTGGGTAGGCTGGTATTCCTTAATGTCTGTTTAATTGGAGTTGGACAGAAAGGACAATGGTAGGCTCCTTTCCTTTCCATTTCCCAGGTTACCATCAGATGGGGTTGCAAATGATTCACATAATGGTCAAGAAGACAGAAAACACAGAAACAAAACACAGTTAAGGTTTTGATATACTTCTATCTGTGCACTTCCATACACCATTTGGCAGAGGCACATGACTACAGAATTTATTGCATAGCTTATACTCAGCAAAGACTAGTGAAATAACACAATTTAAAGTATACAATGATTACTAAAACACTTCCAACTTAAGATGAAATATGTCAAAGATAAACTAATTGGTTATTTTTAATAAAATATGAGTCACTGATTTATTACAATCTATTAAGTAGTTATGTAACATCAAGAAAACTTTCATTGCTTATTCAAGGACATTAGTTTACAAATAACTGTAACCAGAGGGGATTCAAGATGGCGGAAGAGTAAGACATAGAGATCACCTTCCTCCCCACAAATACATCAGAAATACATCTACATGTGGAAAAACCCCTACAGAACACCTACTGAACGCTGGCAGAAGACCTCAGACCTCTGAAAACGCAAGAAACTCTCCACGTACCTGGGTAGGGCAAAAGAAAAAAGAAAAAGCAGAGACAAAAGAATAGGGACAGGACTTGCACCAGTGGGAGGGAGCTGTGAAGGAGGAAAGGTTTCCACACACTAGGAAGCCCCTTCGCGGGCAGAGACTGTGGGTGGCGGAGGCGGGAAGCTTCGGAGCCGTGAAGGAGAGTGCAGCAACAGGGGTGCGGAGGGCAAAGTGGAGAGATTCCCGCACAGCGGACCAGTGCCGACCAGCACTCACCAGCCTGAGACGCTTGTCTGCTCACCCGCCAGGGCAGGTGGGGGCTGGGAGCTGAGGCTCCAGCTTCGGTCAGATCCCAGGGAGATGACAGGGGTTGGCTGCGTAAACACAGCCTGAAGGGGGCTAGTGTGCCACAGCTAGCCAGGAGGGATTCTGGGAAAAGGTCTGGAGCTTCCAAAGAGGTAAGAGACTTTTTCTTGCCTCTTTGTTTTGTGGTGCGTGAGGAGAGGGGATTAAGAGCAATGCTTAAAGGAGCTCCAGAGATGGGCACAAGCCGTGGCTATCAGCGCAGACCCCAGAGACGGGCATGAGATGCTAAGGCTGCTGCTGCTGCCACCAAGAAGGCTGTGTGCAAGCACAGGTCGCTCTCCACACCTCCCCTCCCATGAGCCTGTGCAGCCCGCCACTGCCAGGGTCCTGTGATTCAGGGACAACTTCCCCCGGAGAACACACGGCATGCCTCAGGCTATTGCAACGTCATGCCGGCCTCTGCCACCACAGGCTCACCCCGCATTCTGTACACATCCCTCCCTCGGCATGAGTGAGCCAGAGCCCCCGAATCAGTGGCTCCTTTATCCCTGTCCTGTCTGAGAGAAGAATAGATGCCCTCAGGTGACCTACACTCAGAAGCGGGGCCAAATACAAAGCTGAACACCAGAAGCTGTGCGAACAAAGAAGAGAAAGGGAAATCTCTCCCAGCAGCCTCAGGAGCAGCAGATTAAATCTCGACAGTCAACTTGATGTACCCTGCATCTGTGGAATACCTGAATAGACAATGAATCACAACAAACTGAGGAGGTGGACATTGGGAGAAACGATATATTTTTTTTTCCGTTTTTCACTTCTTGTGAGTGTGTATGTGTATGCTTCTGTGTGTGATTTTGTCTGTATAGCTCTGCTTTTACCATAAGTCCTAGGATTCTGTCTGTCCATTTTTCTTTCTTTTCTTTTTTTAGTATAGTTTTTAGTGCTTGTTATCATTGGTGGATTTGTTTTTGGGTTGGGTTGCTCTCTTCTTTCTTTATTTTTTATTACTTTTTAAGTTTTTTAACTTTATTTTATTTCATTGTACCTCTTTCTTTCTCCTCCCTCCCTCCCTCCCTCCCTCCTTCCCTCTCTCTCTCTCTCTCTCTTTCTTTCTTTCTTTCTTTCTGCATTTTATTCTCAGCTGTGTGGAAAATAGGCTCTTGGTGCTCTGGCCAGGTATCAGGGCTGTGCCTCTGAGGTGGGAGAGCCAAGTTCAGGACATGGTTCCACCAGAGACCACACAGCTCCAAGTAATATCAAACGGGGAAAATCTCCCAGAGGTCTCCATCTCAATGCCAAGACCCAGCTCCACTCAACGACCAGCAAGCTACAGTGCTGGACACCCTATGCCAAACAACTAGCAAGACAGGAACACAACCCACCCATTAGCAGAGAGGCTGCCTAAAATCATAATAAGGTCACAGACACCCCAAAACACACCACCAGACATGGACCTGCCCACCAGAAAGACAGGATACAGCATCATCCACCAGAACACAGGCACCAGTCCCCTCCATCAGGAAGCCAACACAACCCACTGAACAAACCTTACCCACTGGAGGCCGAAACCAAAAGCAACGGGAACTACAGACCTGCAACCTGCAAACAGGAGACCCCAAACACAGTAAGTTAAGCAAAATGAGAAGACAGAGAAACACACAGCAGTTGAAGGAACAAAGTACAATCCCAGCAGATCTAACAAATGAAGAGGAAATAGGCAGTTTACCTGGAAAAGAATAAAGAATAATGATAGTAAAGATGATCCAAAATCCTGGAAATAGAATGGAGAAATTACAAGAAACATTTACCAAGGACCTAGAAGAATTAAAGACTAAAAAAACAATGATGAACAACACAATAAATGATATTTAAAATTCTCTAGAAGGGATCAATAGCAGAATAATTGAGGCAGAAGAACGGATAAGTGACCTGGAAGATAAAATAGTGGAAATAACTAATGCAGAGCAGAATAAAGAAAAAACAAGGAAAAGAATTGAGGACAGTTTCAGAGACCTAGGGGACAACATTAAATGCACCAACATTCGAATTATAGGGGTCCCAGAAGAAGAAGAGAAAAAGAAAGGGACTGAGAAAATATTGGAAGAGATTATAGTTGAAAACTTCCCTAATATGGGAAAGGAAATAGTTAATGAAGCACATAGAGTCCCATACAAGATAAATCCAAGGAGAAAGACGCCAAGACACATATTAGTCAAACAATCAAAAATTAAATACAAGAAAAGAGATTAAAAGCAGCAAAGGAAAGACAACATATAACATACAAGGGAATCCCCATAAGGTTAACAGCTGATCTTTCAGTAGAAACTCTGCAGGCCAGAAGGCAGTGGCAGGACATATTTAAAGTGATGAAAGGGAAAAATGTACAACTACGATTACTCTACACAGCAAGGATCTCATTCAGATTTGACAGAGAAATTAAAAGCTTTACAGACAAGAAAAAGCTAAACGAATTCAGCACCACCAAATCAGCTTTACAACAAATGCTAAAGGAACTGTTCTAGGCAGGAAACACAAGAGAAGGAAAAGACCTACAATAATAAACTCAAAACAATTAAGAAAATGGTAATAGGAACATACATGTCGATAATTACCTTAAATGTAAATGTATTAAATGTTCCCACCAAGAGACACAGACTGGATGAATAGATAAAAAAAACAAGACCCATATATATGCTGTCTACAAGAGACCCAATTCAGACTTAAGAACACATACAGACTGAAAGCGAGGGGATGGAAAAAGATATTCCATGCAAATGGAAATCAAAACAAAGCTGGAGGGCTTCCCTGGTGGCGCAGTGGTTGAGAGTCCCCCTGCCGATGCAGGGGACATGGGTTCGTGCCCTGGTCCGGGAAGATCCCACATACCGCGGAGTGGCTGGGCCTCTGAGCCATGGCTGCTGAGCCTGCGCATCCGGAGCCTGTGCTCCCCAAAGGGAGAGGCCACAACAGTGAGAGAAAAAAAAAAGAAAAAAAAAAAAAAACAAAGGTGGAGTAGCAATTCTCATATCAGACAAAATACACTTTAAAATAAAGACTATTAAAAGAGACAAAGAAGGACACTACATAATGATCAATGGATCAATCCAAGAATAAGATATAAAAAAAAAAAAAAAAAAAAAAAAAAAAAAAAAAAAAAAAAAAAAAATTCCTTATTTACTTTGATTTTGGATTCAACAGTAACACAATATAGTAGAGGACTTTTAACACCACACTTTCACCATTGGACAGATCATCCAAAATCAAAATAAATAAGGAAACACAAACTTTAAATAACACATTAAACAAGATGGACTTAATTGATACTTTTAGGACATTCCCTCCAAAAACAACAGAATACACTTTCTTCTCAAGTCCTCATGGAACATTCTCCAGTATAGATCATATCTTGGGTCACAAATCAAGCCTTGGTAAATTTAAGAAAATTGGAATTGTATCAAGTTTCTTTTCTGAAAACAACGCTATGAGACTAGATATCAATTACAGGAAAAAATCTGTAAAAAATACAAACACATGGAGGCTAAACAATACACTACTTCATAACCAAGAGATCACTGAAGGAAACAAAGAGGAAATCAAAAATACCTAGAAAGAAATGACAATGAAAACACGACAAGCCAAAACCTATGGGATGGATTAAAAGCAGATCTAAGAGGGAAGTTTATAGCAATTCAATCCTACCTTAAGAAACAAGAAACATCTCAAATAAACAACCTAACCTTACACCTAGAACAATTAGAGAAAGAAGGACAAAAACACCCAAAAGTTAGCAGAAGGAAAGAAAACATAAAGATCAGATCAGAAATAAATGAAAAAGAAATGAAGGAAATGATAGCAAAGATCAATAAAACTAAAAGCTGGTTCTTTGACAAGATAAACAAAATTGATAAACCATTAGCCAGACTCATCAAGAAAAAAAGGGAGAATACTCAAACCAACAGAACTAGAAATAAAAAAGGAGAAGTAACAATTGACACAGTAGAAGTACAAAGGATCAAGAGAGATTACTACAAACAACTATATGCCAATAAAATGGACAACCTGGAAGAAAAGGACAAATTCTTAGAAATGCACAACCTTCTGAGGCTGAACCAGGAAGAAATAGAAAATATGAACAGACCAATCACAAGCACTGAATTAAAACTGTGATTAAAAATCTTCCAATAAACAAAAGCCCAGGACCAGATGACTTCACAGGTGAATTCTATCAAAGATTTAGAGAACAGTTAACACCTGCCTTTCTCAAACTCTTCCAAAATATAGCAGAGGGAGGAACACTCCCAAACTCATTCTACGAGGCCACCATCATCCTGACACCGAAACCAGACAAAGATGTCACAAAGAAAGAAAATGACAGGCCAATATCACTGATGAACATAGATGCAGAAATCCTCAACAAAATACTAACAAACAGAATCCAGCGACACATTAAAAGGATCATGCACCATGATCAAGTAGGGTTTATTCCAGGAATTCAAGGATCCTTCAAAATACGTAAATCAATCAATGTGATACACCATATTAACAAATTGAAGGATAAAAACCATATGATCATTTCAATAGATACAGAGAAAGCTTTTGACAAAATTCAACACCCATTTATGATAAAAACCCTGCAGAAAGTAGGCATAGAGGGAGCTTACCTCAACATAATAAAGGCCATATATGACAAACCCACAGCCAACATCGTCCTCAATGGCGAAAAACTGAAACCATTTCCATAAGGTCAGGAACAAGACAAGGTTGCCCACTCTCACCTTTATTATTCAACATAGTTTTGGAAGTTTTAGCCACAGCAATCGGAGAAGAAAAAGAAATAAAAGGAATCCAAATTGGAAAAGAAGAAGTAAAGGTGTCAGTGCAGATGACATGATACTCTACATAGAGAATCCTAAAGATGCTACCAGAAAACTACTAGAGCTAATCAATTAATTTGGTAAAGTAGCAGGATACAAAATTAATGCACAGAAATCTCTTGCACTCCTATACACTAATGATGAAAAATCTGAAAGTGAAATTAAGAAAACACTCTTATTTACCACTACAACAAACAGAATAAAATACCTTGGAATAAACCTACCTAAGGAGACAAAAGGCCTGTATGCAGAAAATTATACGACACTGATGAAAGAAATTAAAGATGATACAAACAGACGGAGAGATATATCATGTTCTTGGATTGGAGTAATCAACATTGTGAAAATGACTATACTACCCAAAGCAATCTACAGATTCAATGCAATCCCTATCAAACTACCACTGGCATTTTTCACAGAACTGGAAAAAAAAATTTCACAATTTGTATGCAAACACAAAAGACCCCGAATAGCCAAAGCAATCTTGAGAAAAAAAAAAACGGAGCTGGAGGAATCAGGCTCCCTGACTTCAGACTATACTACAAAGCTACAGTAATCAAGACAGTATGGTACTGGCACAAAAACAAAAATATAGATCAATGGAACAGGATAGAAAGCCCAGAGATAAACCCATGCACATTTGGTCACCTTATCTTTGATAAAGGAGGCAGGAATATACAATGGAGAAAAGACAGCCTCTTCAATAAGTGGTGCTGGGAATACTGGACAGCTACATGTGAAAGAATGAAATTAGAACACTCCCTAACACCATACACAAAAATAAACTCAAAATGGATTAAAGACCTAAATGTAAGGCCAGACACTATCAAACTCTTAGAGGAAAACACGGGCAGAACACTCTATGACATAAATCACAGCAAGATCCTTTTTGATCCACCTCCTAGAGAAATGGAAATAAAAACAAAAATAAACAAATGGGACCTAATGAAACTTAAAAGCTTTTGCACAGCAAAGGAAACAATAAACAAGACAAAAAGACAGCCCTCAGAATGGGAGAAAATATTTGCAAATGAAGCAACTGACAAAGGATTAATCTCCACAATTTTAGAGCAGCTCATGCAGCTCAATATCAAAAAAACAAAGAACCCAATCCAAAAGTGGTCAGAAGACCTAAGCAGACATTTCTCCAAAGAAGACATACAGATTGCCAACAAAGACATGAAAGAATGCTCAACATCATTAATCATTAGAGAAATACAAATGAAAACTACAATCAGATATCATCTCACACCAGTCAGAATGGCCATCATCAAAAAATCTCCAAAGAATAAATGCTGGAGTGGGTGTGGAGAAAAGGGAACCCTCTTGCACTGTTGGTGGGAATGTAAATTGGTACAGCCACTATGAAGAACAGTATAGAGGTTCCTTAAAAAACTAAAAATAGAACTACCATAGGACCCAGCAATCCCCCTACTGGACATATATCCTGAGTAAACCATAATTCAAAAAGAGATATGTACCACAATATACATTGCAGCTGTATTTACAATATCCAGGACATGGAAGCAACCTAAGGGTCCATCAACAGATGAATGGGTAAAGAAGATGTGGCACATATATACAATGGAATATTACTCAGCCATAAAAAGAAACAAAATTGAGTTATTTGTAGTGAGGTGGATGGACCTAGAGTCTGTCATACAGAGTGAAGTAAGTCAGAA